TAAAAGTTGTGGATACACGGCGCTTAAATGACAATGAAATCGTTGCTTCTCTTATTACATCGATATTTGTTAAAACATTTGACTTAACGAATTTGTATTACACTCATGTACGCTTATTGCAATGATTCTTTCAATGCGATATTTATATGTCAATTTTAAAAGTATTTTATTTATTTGCAGATTAAGATGTTAATATCGGGAAAAAGTTTCAATTCGAAGGAAGAATCCAACAACGATAAGAGAGAAATTTTAGTTGTGCAGAGAGTTTTCGTATATACGACAAAGTGTGAGTGAATTTGAAGCTCTTAAAGATATTTTCTAGAAATGAAAAGAAAATAAACCGTAGCAGTGAATTGACCATTGCCAAATATTTAGTATTTACCAGCCCGACAAGTTTTTTTTTTATCAGAAATATATTATTAATATTTATCAATAGATTTTTATTTTATTTTTTGCTTTTCGTGATTACAAAATTATATACATTATATTATTTAATAATGGCGGTTGTGACAATAAGTAATAATACAATTTTTTTTTTTTCATTATCGTTATTTTTGAATATTTGTGAATTCATTTACGAGTACAAAGGATTTTAAATTATAGAATCATTAATATTTCAGTTACCTAAAATATGAGAGTATTCATAATATTAATGATGAAATTCATAACATTATGAGGAAAAAGTTAGAATTCTAAATCTAAAAATTCTGAAAAAAACTGAAAAAAACTGAAAATGAAACAAATAATGAAAGTGCTGAAATTCAATACGAATATTGAGTAAAGCCATTTCAATCAAGATAATATGCAAAAATTTTGCTTTATAAATGCATTGATTAAAAATATAATTCACTAAGAACATTATACTTGAATATTGTATGGACAAGATTATTTATTCCAATTAAAGTACACTATCCTCAAAATTAGTATTATATTAAAAAAATGATTACGTTTTTGTATTTATCGTGTATATATATATATATATATATATATATATATATGATTATAAAACCAGATGGTAGTTATTAATGAGGCCTGAACTTTTTAAACTTTACTTTTAATCTTTATAATTTAAATTTTCAATATCGTAATTTCACAAAAGCACATGTAATGTGATCTAAAGTGTTTTGCATGCCACATATAAATATATGTTCAATTTCTAGTTTGCTTCGCTTGGCTCGAATAGTTATGAAAATGCTAATTATGGGACAAATTTATCACAGTATACAAGAAGATTTGTTGGATATTTATGTACGTCTAGTTCTTATGTTTTTAGGGAAAGTTGTTTTTGTTAATTACATTTATCCTATGTTCGTATTAGATCAGTAAATATTATAGTTCCCGCCTCGTATAATTTCCTTCACAGATCCCATTGTTTTTTCTGACTGATCGAATACAACTATTACATCTATTAAATTTTTTTAATTCTTTTAATGTCAGAAATCAAATATTACGGAATGCAAGATTTTCAATGAAAAAAAAAGACTTGTATTAATTTTAAATTTTATATACCATAAATTTCAATATAAAATACGCAGAAACAAAAGGAAATATTAAATTTTTTTTATATAATCTAAATTTAATATAATGTAATATAAAGGAATGAAATACTTTTAATAATAAAAACAATTATAAGTAATAAATTTCATTTTTAATGCTATTAATTAACTTATTATGTTAATTATAAAAGCTATCGAGTATAAAATAAGTTTTCTTTAAGATAAATAAAGTCAATTAAATAATTAATTATTTCTCGAAATTGTATCAAATATTTAAACAGTATAGCTAATTTATTAAAATTTATTGATATTTATTAATTATTATTTTATTGTTATTATTTTATTATTATTAATTATTGTTATATTATAAATATTATAATGTTAATAAACGAAAAAAATATTATTATTATCATTTATTATACTCACAAAATTTTTATAACTACACAATTTATGGACAACAAATTTTTAATATGTTAACGTTACTTGATATAATTATTGATACATATTTGCACGAAAGAAAATAAAAAGTTTTCACTCGATTCTTCATAAATTTTCTTCATAAAAATATTATAATATCAATTTCATCTGTATAATATACATTATTTTTCATAATAACATACAGATGATTTTAAGTGAATATTTAAATCAAGTAATTTTTTTAATATGTACTATTTGTATATCAGGCTATGTTATTTATATGTTTTTCTTCTTATTTATTAAAACAGCAAGCATTATTATTATTAAACAAGAAAAGCATTTATAATTTAACAGTTTTTGTTATTTTTTTTTTATCTTCTATCGATATTATCAATAATACTCTTTTATATTACATTAGATAATGTCAACAAAAGAATTTGGACTAATCGTGTTTGAACGTACAGTTGTAAAGTGTTAAAATATTTTATCTAAATTTTCCCACAATTTTAATAAACCTGTTTTTAAGATTCCAATATTTTTATATTAAACGAAGATAAAAATAATCGGATAGTTTTGTAAATATTTATAAATCACATGAAATATCATAATATTTCAATGTTACTTGGTATCGTATCGTGTTCTTTATTTTTAACGTGAATATATGACATATGTATTGTAAATAGAATAAAATTAGTATTGATTCAAATTCAAGTGAGAGTGACAGTTGAATTTTTTTTTAATTACAGAACAGTGAGCTTTTATTATTATCCTTAGTAATATTATTTTCAAAATGTCAAAGAAACATTTGACGCACATAAGGTTCAATTAACGGTTTAAGGGTCTAGTTCAAGTATTTATAACTAAGATGATAATATTCCTGGATTATTGGGTACAGCTGTACTCAACATCATAATCAATTGAAAGCTTTGTATTGCTTATATCTTTGCTTTAGTCTATTAATTTAGTAAAAAATGTATTTTCATGATAATACCAACATTGTTGCAACTCGTTTTTTCCCTCTATGTATCATTAGCAATTGTTCCCATAATTTCATTGAGGTTCAGATTAATATGAGCTTGACGCTTTACCATTTTTAATTAATTTTTAAATTTTAATTATTTCACACTTTATCGTTTTTAACGTTATATTATTATTAGATAGAAGTTTATTTATTTAATTACTTACGTACCTAGTTAGCAAATGAAAAAGAATTAAAATTTAATTTTTTTAACAATATTTTTGTACAAATATTAACGCAGTATATTTAATAAAAATATACTTTATGATAGCACTATATTATATTATAATTTTGAAGTTAGTATAATATTTTATGTTTATGATAAAAATTATTTTTGAATAATATTAATATTCAAATACCGTTTTACGAGCAAATGTAATATATTAGAATATTAATTTTTATATATGAATTTTATAATTTTTATATATTAATTACATATAAAAATTTTTTTTTATTTGTGAAAATACTTTTATTATTCAAATATTTATGAAATAAGAACGCACGTGATATATTACAAATTTAGAAGTTTTCGTGGAAAATACAGAAAAACTAGAGTTAAAAAACTGATAAAAATATACATTTACATGAGAATCGTATGTATTCATATCATATTGTAGAATTTTATTTAGAATTAAGATTAATTTTAACCTCATTGTTAACTATATACACTATATAGTTATATAATACTAACTATATATACTATAATCTTTTTGGAATCTAAATCTAAAAAACATAAAATACATTATTGATATTAAAGATATTTCACGTATGTAACGCGCAACATGATTATTAGTTTAAAATTGTGGTTTTTTTTATAGTAATAACAACAAGCAAGACAAATACAATAATTTCGAGTAGAATAATTGTATTATTAACGATAGTTTACGAAATTAAATTCCGCAGCGTTTATTATTAAAAATTATCAATAAAAATTATTCAAAGTTTAATGTTCTTTAGTCGTAGTCGAAAGTTTATTTTATTTCTATTTTAGATAGTTATGAACTTTTTTTTTAATTATCACATTTTTTAAAATCAACATTTAATAATTAATTTGCTGGAAATTTTAAAAGAACATTGACTTTTATTGTATTTCTAATAAATATATATTTATTTTCCAGTAGTTTTTAAAATTTGTTAAATTTAGTAATTGGGATGTAATTGTGAAACGTTACGATAGAATTGCTATAAGTGATTATTTAATTACGCATTATAATCAAGTTATTAAATTTATAAATAATAGGAGATGCGATAATTTTATGCAATGAAATTTATGCAAGAGTTTTTTTACTGTTAACAATTAGATTTATTAATTGCATGGATGACTATGATTTTTATTACGGGTCAGTGTTTGATTCGATTGGCGATGAGATAATACTGTTTATTTTAAATTTTATTTTATTTTCGTATAAGAAAAGAATTTTATTATTTACAATGTTTAATAAATGAGGGTTAAAATTTTAATTATTATATAAAGTTTTAATTTTTTTTATATGTGAAAAAAGTAACTATTGCATATATTGAGACTTGAGATAGATATAAAAAATATTACTTTTTATAATCAATGTTTTAATAAATATAAATTTTAGTAAAAATTTTATTGGAATCATTAAAATATTTCAAAATTAAAATTTGAATTGTCAATGGAAAGAACTGATATATATATATATATATATATATATATATTTTTTTTTTTATTAGATATTATTTAAAAATTATTTACTTCATTTAGAGACTGTTATTTCTCCGTAATTATCTAGTTTTAAGTTTTGCTTTTTATTAGAATTCTTTATATATTTTATTTATTTTTATGACTGGATGTTTACCCTAATATTTTCTTTCATGTATATTTGCCAATATGTTTTAGGCCTTTTTAAATATCGAGCAAGAAGCTTATAATATTAACACGATTTTACTGATTAATATTTTTGGATATTTCATTTAATAAATTTTTACTATTATTTCATTTTACAACTATGATGTTTTGTTTTTTCAAAATATTTGGCTCTACTCATATATTTAGTGCGAATTAATCTTATGTATATTATTTTAAGAAAAATAAATAGATTTACCTATTAATTTGCCATGATGCATAAAGGCATGGGGTTATAAGTGCTGGTAGAAACGCAACCCATACAAAAGTTACGTATGTTATGTCCAAGTGACGGGAATTCTCATAAGTTTCCCTGACTGCTGATCTCGCCAATCTATTATAAAAAGATTTCGTTAAAATAGATAAAAATTTAGAGTGCATGTAAAAGTGATCATTATGCCTACTTGCTTTCATTATTTTTTTGTATGTCATAATGATGATTTACTAGTTTTTTAATGTTTATCGGTTCTTCTCTTTGAGAGCATATTTTTATTTCATTTTTTGTTTGCATTATAATTGCGTAAATATACATTATAATGGAATCGACATTATAAATTCAGTAAATATCGAATTTTTTTATAATAAATCTCGATGTACAAACCAGACAACTAGTAAAAAAAACCTACAATATATTTTCGTTTCCAATTAGAAGTTGAGACAATAAGGATAAGATCTGGTATTTACAAGTATATTGCTCTGTCATAAATTCGAGTATCCTCAAGATCTTCTTTGATGGATCAGCATTTTATGTCAAATGTTTGGTTCCCTTTCGGAAATTGCTAGCATCGGTGTGCATTTGTTCGTTTTTACAATTTCTTTGATAAAAAATAATGATCATTATCACAATGAGTTGTCTCGAGAATATTTATTCTCAAACAATAATAATAAGAGGATGTGAACAATGTTTATTGCAAGTATCTCTTAATAACCTATTTTTAATACGTATTATACAGTTTCGAGTTTCCAAGTTTGATTGTACTGTAAAAAAGACTCTAGTCTAGTCATTCAATATTTCGTTCTATATAAATTTGAATTGGATATTATACGTTTGAGATTGCTTATATCCGTTTACTTAGCCGTTTTTTTCTTATCTCAGTATATGTTTTCCAGATTTTTATAGCTTTAGTAAACTTCGCTTCAAGCTCATAAATTATTACCTTCAAAATACAGATAAGCAAATTTATTTGCAAAAGAAAAAATCTTTTCCACATAAAGTATTCTTTTCTAATGATAAATAAAAACTGTTAAATAAATCTATATCCTTTCACATGTTTTGTATTCGGTCGGTTGTTTTATCGTCCAAGTTCTTCATCAAAAGCTTTTCCAAGTCATCTTGAATGGCATTAGGAAAGTTAAAACCTTGAAACATAAAATCTATTTAGCAACTATTTGAACAATGCCTTCATAAAACTCGATACCGATATTTATAGGTCAACATTAATTTAGGAAATACATCATACAATACACTGCCCCTACCAACCTATTCTGACTATAGATACTCAACCTCATAAGTAACATTATCTAGATATTGGGCTATCTAGTTATCTAGCTATCTAGTTATTGGGATTATTTTTCATGTGCAATTGCAAGTGACCTATTCGTTGTAAGGCTTAATTGGCTCCAAGTGTACGTATAGTACTACCAACAATATGTATAGTCATCATAGGTGTCATCCAGTGTCTAGATGGGACTGTAATTGAATTGTATCTAGTATGAAGCAAATGTAGCAAATGTATGTTACGGCAGTCGCATTTCATTCGCTAATCCAATAACTTTAAAAGACGATAACCTAGTCAGTAATACCAATTAATAATTTAATTAATTATTAAATTTATTTATTTTTTTGGTATATAATTAATAAATTTTAGATTTTAAATATTTAAAAATATTTGAAAATTTGTATCCGAACCCGTAAAATTTGTTTTTACTTTAAATGAAATATTCTCATTGAAAAACGATCTTTGCAAAAAGAAATTATAATCATTACAGAGAATATGAACATTAATAAATTCGTGCTTACTTATATTCGAAGTTATTATAACCTTAATATATATTTATATATATATATATATATATATATATATATATATATATATATATATAAATATTAGTAAATAATAAAACAGATTCATTATTATTATTAAAAACTTTTTAATACCTGTATAGATATGTTTTCACTGTATAACGTTGGTATTCAAAGAAAATTTTATTAGTTTTGTTTTTGATATAGAAACATATAAATGTTAGGAAAATACTTTGACAAAATTTCACATAATCAAATTAGTTTCAATTGTTATGTATTTTATATTAAGAATTTTGTTCATTACAATATTATTGGTAAAACGATTAAGTTAAATATGTTAATAGCAAATTTGAATAAGGAAATATTCGAAATTATCGGTCTAATCCTATTCGATAATTTATTATATTCATAATAAATTTAATTAACTAATTAATATATATAATTAATTATCTAATTTTAATTCTAATTATCTAATTCTAATTAACTAATAATATATAATTTACGCAATAGTATTAAAATTAATATTTTGAATGAAAATTAATAATAACCGTTTAAAATGTTTATAAAGTTTTGATAATTGGTAAACAAAGTTTTGAAAACTAAATTATCAATTAGTACTAATTTTCTTTGTGAAAATTACAATGTTGTGTATTCAAAACTTTATGTAAAAAAGAAAATTATTGTAATAATGGGATTTAATTTTTTTAGATGTAAGGTCGTGTATTAAGGATATTTTTTATGTTTGTCTAAATAAATGTACGCACAAAAGGCATGAATTATCGCATAAAACTTTTTTATCGAATAAGACGTATAATATATATATATATATATATATATATATATATATATATATACATGTAGAATATTCCACACATTATTATACACTATATGTGTATAAACATTGAATGTATAACAGTGAACAATTGATTTACGAGTATTAAATTAATGACATAATATTGTTAAGAAATTTTTGTTGCTTTGAATTATTAAAGTATTGCTGCGAATATTGTAAGATAAAAATATTTGTATTGAAATAAAATCATTATAATGGTTCATGTTAAAAAGCTGTCATTCTAATGCACAATAATAAATGTCCAATGTATGATAATTTATTGATTTCGGCATATCAATGTGCGTGTGGTTGTCTAAGAGTCCAAGAGTCTTTTTGTCAATCGTTTGCCCAACTATTATAATTAAGTAAAGATTGCATATAATCAAAATAATTGAGTTTAATTAATGTAACCAAGAACTATCACTTTCTCTTTAAAAAAAAGTCATTTATCTTATCGTTAATTTGATTGTAATATTTCATTGTGGAAAAAGTCGTAAAAAAATTCATGAAATGAACAATTGGAATTCAATGAGAAATGTATGTAAGCATGCAAATATAAACACTTCATTCATGTAAATGTAAAGTATATGTACAACCTTCAAGCGCATAAGTGTTATAATGTTTCATTATAGAAATATATTTGTATATTACGCATACTAACACTGTTAATATACGCATAGATATTTTATATATATGGAAACAATTTAGGTAATAAAATAATAAAAATTCTGGCATAGTATATTAATAAATAAAAATAATTTTTAATTAAGCTTAAACGTAATTTTATTTTAAAAATAATGAAAATTCTGGGCTACATTAATTAGAAATACATTTACAATAAATAATAAGACCAATATATATTTTTCATTTTATAATTATATTTATTATAGGAGGATCCCTATATCTCCCTACGCTCTCATAGTTATTCTATTATCTTACAGATAGTCCTTACAGACAGTAAAAAGTAATAATTACATAGCAGATAAATATTAGCTAAATACGTGAATTTGTCGTTTAAGTTTTTTTGAAAAGCCAAAACAGTGGACAATAATCAACAGTCGGTTATATAGGTAACAGTTATATCCTTGGCATTATCGAGTTGCTGTGGAGCGGAATAATGGTAGAAAAAGGACGAAAAATAAGAATAATCGACTATGGTAGCGGCACGTTTCACATGGCTCATGTCCGGTTTTCTTCAATAAAGAAAGTGTTTCAAACTAGTTTATTACTATTTCCACCTCTCTCTCTCTCTCTCTCTCTCTCTATATATATATATATATATATATATATCATAGAGAAATTCTTTATTGAATAATGATTTATTTTTAGTAATATTTGTAAAGAAATAAAGCATATTTTAAATATACTTTCTAATAAATGCTTATAAAATTATTAAAATACACGTCTTATCAAGTAGACATATATTTGACAGAATGAGTGATAAATGACGCACAGCAACGGGCTTAACCACAATGATTATTATTAGGAAGTCACAGGAACTAAACCAAGGATAAAAAGAAAACTAATTCGAAGAAAAGAAAATAAGTGCTACTGTTATATCAAATAAAAGATTTATCTTGTATAACGACGGGGTCTGCTTATCAATCAAATCCGTAATAATAAACGAGAATGAAAGTACTTACAAAATAATTAAAAATATAGGGGAATTATTTAATAATAGAGATGCAGGAGTTGAGTGAGTATATAAGACCGACTTGTTGAAATTATTGCGGATAGTGGCTTCGTATCACCGTCATATTGAATAACTATTGAGACGATAAAAAGTAAGTTATTTGGTGATAGGAGAACATCTAGATGGGGATGATGGTAAGCCTTTTACCATGATTGTTTCGTCCAATAATAGCGTTGGTCAATGGTCAGTGATGTTAGAAAATCGATATGACGAGAGAGACGAAAAAGTAGAAAGCACGTCATCGTCAAGCTTGAGTTATAAAAGCCGATTTATTTCAATCGATCGAATATGATGAGTAATGATGAGACAGAGTCTGTGATTATCTCGAACTTGTTATACGGGCAATTAAAACGAGTCCAAGTACGATTAAAAATAAGGAATATTTGGCTTTGAATTTAATAAATCCGTTGCTTTCGTTTAAGTTCCCCGGGTTTCTGTTGATATACAGCGACATTTACGACCAACTGCGCAGCTTCATTCTGCTCGCATTAATACTATCTTAGAACCTTTTTGAAAATATGCTGCATATGAGATCCTAGGCTTGCTTTCCTTTGTAATGGCATTAAATTATTGAGACGTACCCGAGCCTTGGAATTTATTTTTACACGCGCTGTCACTCCGGATTTCCACCATGAACGTTTTCAATGTATCAACGCACTGTCTTTTAAGAAATGAAAGTCATACTTTGCTTGCAAATAATTTTACTAGCATTCCCGTTACTTCATTATAACAATAGTATTAGAAATGTAGGCAAATTTAAGTATAAATTCACCATTGTATCCACGAGGATACAAGAAATAACGTACTATCTTTATGTTTTATGGACATTCTTTATGTATAAAATATTGACAGATATAATTAAGTAGATGGATTTTTCATAAAAATTAAACTCAGTGTTAATATAATAAACATAGATAAACATATTATTGTTTTGATGAAATTTTGGTAAAAATACAAAACGCTTTTTCTATTCATTAAAGTACCGAGAGATTGATTATATTTGTATTATTATTATGCTGCGGAGGTAAAGTTGAGGGCAAAAGAGCTTTACTCGTTTACTCGTAGTGAATACATTTAATTTGCACGACAATACAATACATTCACCGAAGCGGATGATTTTCAAATCCATAAATATTAATAAAATGTTAAAGATATAGAGAATAGCTTTACGAGTTAGCTTTGCTCACTTTTTAAAATGATTTAAGAATATCTGGAGGTAAAATATATGTAAATTATTGTACTACAGAGATTTTAGTCTTTTAAGTCGGACTAATTATTCTATTAATTTTAGATATTTAAATTTCATTGAATAATGAAACTTCTAAATCTATTAGATTTTCCCTGCTTTTTCTCGTGTATCAGATACTTTATTAGATTTATTATTAGTTAAGTTTATTATTATAATAATAACCGTATAATTGTATATATATTTTTTAGAAGTGCTTATTTCTATATATGAGAAGATTTTCAGAATAGTATCAATAAAACAGAATATATATTTCTTACTCCGGATTTTCTCGTTTGTTTTCGACAGATTAGTTCGTCATTTTTCTATGGCACACTCCTATTTATTTATTTATTTTACTAAAATAAAAATGTATATTTACGTATTTAATATATTTTGCTTTGTAAATAAAATTTTATAGTGAGTAAGCCAAAATTTTAATATTGTCGTAAATGTCAGAAATGTCGTTAAATTTATTTATTATATAAAATGATTTAGTTTGTGTTGCAGATTTTTTAAATTACCAATATTTCCGACCATAATTACAATATATAATTTCTTTAAACAATAAATGCGATTTGTCAAAGCATTAAGTAAGATACTTTTTTCTTTTTTTTTTACAGATTTTGTTTTTAAATATCTTTATTAAAGCGTAAGATTTTCCGAATAATCAGTTTCTAAATATTTTTTTGAAATAAATTATATATTTATATTTATACGCAATATATATTATTTTATACTTTTTTTTTATGATTTGAAAACTAATGTAAGAATATGATTAAATTCGAAAATTATTTGTCGTTTTAAAGAATTTTTAATTTTACTATCTTAAATTTTAGAACGCTATATATAATAATATAATTATTTGTAATAAGATATAGGAATATTATATATAAAAGTAATCTTATCTTTTTTTTTCTTCAAATTTTCAACAATCTTTTTAACCCATATGTTAGTGAGAGGTGACGGAGAAGCAGAAAGCGATAAGAAACGATACCTTTTGTCCCGACAATTATTTTATCATAAGAGATATCAAAGTATATCTCTATAGGGACTGGAAACACTTTATTGCTTTATTGCTTTGATATATTTTAATTTGAAAATGAGTATGAAAATTCGTTGATGTGTGACGCTTGGAAAGCCAAGCGAAAGGTTATTATTCGTTTTGAAGTATGAGTTGACTGGAAGTCGTTTTGATCGAACACAAAATTATTTACGTATTAATTCTGGCATAATGCCTTTGAGGTTTGGTTATTTGTCGGTGCTCTCTAATGCAATCAGGGACAGCTATTTATGTGAATGTAATTCAAAATATAGTTTAAGTTGTACTAGAATATTTGACATTTTCTAGAGTATACGCACGAAGGAGAAATCATTAATACAAATGAGATATGTGAATGTTACTTTTGGAATGTTTACAATTTGCACTTCTAAGAGATCATTGATTGCAGGATACGTGTAAGAACAATATAATTCCAAGTGATATTTCGCGGAGATGTGAAATAATACAAGTTCAAGCATTTTGAATACACATTAAATAGAATGTGAAGAGAATAATTGATAACCATATTTTCGTGAATTGTCGAATAAAGTTATAATAATTGGATAATAGTGATTACTGATCACAAATGATAATATAAGCGACGATAGAGTTGTAATTAACAATCCCTAACGAATTAAGAAATTATTTCCAAGAAAATATCATGGAGAGATTGACAATGAAAAAACATAAAGAAAGAAAGTTAAAAGCTATAAGTTATAATATGAAAAAGGGTCATTCTAGAATTATTTTATTTTCATATAATATTATCAATAATAATAGTAAATTCTATTATAGTAATATTATATAATATTTGTTGGTAATAAACTATTTATGTAATCGATTTCCAAAGTATCAAAATAAATATCATATTAAATAATATGATGTTTTTATCATAATAATGAGTCTGCAAAGAATGGTATTGATTTTAAATTAGTTTTAATTTTATTTTATTAAAACAATTCAATCGATCATTGAAATGAAATTAGTAGGTAAATTTATGTGATCATTATATTTCAACATCAGTTATGCTGTTGCATCATACTTAACTGTGCGATGGCAAATAAGACATCAATCAATAAAAAGTGGGATAGCATATGGTAAATACATATTGCTTGATACGTGCGCATGTAGACCGTATACCTGTCACGAAACAATAAAACTCTCCATAACAATAACTAAATCTCTCCTTTTTTCGATTTTAAAATCGGATCGAATAGTGATAAAGTGTATAAATTTTAATTTGTACTATTTTGACGTTGTCGGATAATCCGAGTAGAATAGCTTGTTATGAGTGTCGTTCGGCCAAGCGTGAGGATGCGCGTTACTGTCTCTCCTATTCTTCTCCACCTCGAATGTTCAGTTCATCGAACTGTAAATCTTGTAAATAAATCTTCTCGGTAATATACATTATGTCTGTATCACTTATTCCCTTTTGACTCCGATTTGGTTTTGCATTTTATAATAAGAATAATCAAGATTAACGATAACAAGTTTTAATCAATTAATTGTTCATCAATAAATATTCATATACGCTTCAGCTAATATGAATTAATATGAATTATTTTAAATTTAAAAATCTCATTTATCTATAAACAATTTCTTCTTATAGTAATTAATCATATTGGATTCGAAATTTTTATCACAGTCTAACTTATGTATATCGAAATAGAATAACATTTTATAGATTAGACAAAGATTGTAAAATACGTAATAACACATGTGAACGTACGCCCGACGTACACACGATGTACGTGCACACACACACACGCGCGCGCACACACACACATAATACTATTTTTGTTGCTACACGAACAAATAAGAAATAAAATAAACTTATATAATTTAATATATATAAGTAATACAATAATATAGTATAAGTATATATACATATAATTAAATTATATTCTCTCTTCATTAGTTCTAAAAGTTTGAAAATACTGATAAAATAAATATCGTTTCGATGAAAAAATATAATTTTAATAAAATTGCTGACTTTTAATAATGAAAAAAATTATTTATGAAAATACTTAGGAAATTATTTATGTATTATAAGTGATGGTAATTTTTTTTACATTATTATAGAAATAACAATCACGAAATCCAAAATCATAATGATCAGAGTTCAGAAATTATATATATATATATATATATATATATATATATATATATATATATATTATAGGTAACGCGAAATACTGATGTGAATACAAAGTACGATACTTGAATATCAGATTTTAGATAGGATTTGAAATTGTACGACTGTTCTAAAAGCAATCCTTTTTTGGTAAATAAATTGCTGACGCAAACATGAACATCTTCACATGTGCTCGAAATTATAAATCATCTAGATGTACGTGTTGACATAGTGTGCTTGTGTTTGTGTACGTAATAAAGGTTTATAGTATTTATTTTCTAAATTATTTCCTTATAGCATTTTAGATTCATAATAAATGCTTATAATTTAAAATGTGATTATAAATGTGTTAAAAAATGTTTAATGGCTAGAATATATTGACTGTGATAATAGAAATAATAAAAAAAGAGAAAACAATGTCAATAGAACTTAACCAGAGAAACATTATTAAGATTTCAATAGCTACATACGTCAAATAAATAAAAATTTTTTAAATTTTATATTGCTTGGCTGTTACAATGAAGTTAATGCATTGATATTCTTACCTGAGTATCATTAAAGGACAGAGACAGACAGCAAATGTTGTTATCATGAAGATAAGATACTTTTGTGTTCGTTTTTCTTTCTGTAAATTTAATTCTGAGTCGTCAATATCGTAGGATGTATCAATGTTTTCACGTCTCCTTTTTCCATGGATAGTAAGTCTGCGACAAAAAGTAGTAATTCGTAAAGTAAAATTAATAATTGATAATCATTTAAGTATAAGTTTCTGTTTAATTGAATAAATATCCAACATAATTAAATATTTTATAGAATCGTTCCTTATGTATTTATTAATAATTTCTATTGCCTGTATAGTTAATTTATTTTTTAAATAAAGTATTTTTTTATTGTATTAATACAATATTTCTAATATCTTACAGTGCAGTGTGAATCTTATATCTATTTATTCCAAATAATACGAGTAATTAATAATTTAATCTAACCTCAAGAGAAGTCTATTGGTTTATTCGTTATACATGCACAAAATAGAAACATATTTCTAAAATTTGAAATGAATTATATTTATTATAATACATGTTATTAAAAAATATATATGCTAACTCTCCTTTTATGCTTTTGATGATATTAAAATGGGTAAACGGGAGCTTTGTAAAAAGAAAAACATTACGATGAATATGGCGTTGATGTCTAAGTAAGACAAGATTATTCTTAAATATACTTTGTCTCAATCGTAAAATCTCTTTTTTTTACGAAAAGTTTCTTTCAAGACAACAATTATTTTGTTCAAAATATAATCTAATAATTTTATATATGCACAATTATTTCAATTATTCAATAGATTCAATCAAATTATATTTAACATTTAATTTAACATTTGTAAATCTTCAATTATAATTTACTATTAACTTTTATATTAAATTCCTTTTTTTTTTTTTTTTTTATAGAAATAATATATTCCTAATAAAAGTATGCTTACTTTCATAATAGCGCTATAAAAAACTTCTGAAATAAGAAAATTTAAATATAAAAATGGTAATTGTCTTTGCTACATCTATAATTATTTATACTTTTAAAATATAATTCATTCTATTTTAAGATTAATATGAATGAAATTTATTATTTTAATATTTGTTATTTATAAATTTTACTTTTATATCTATCCAAGTTATCAATAATGATACAACTTTAATATTAATAAGTAACATAATAAATGTTAAAGAACAATTATAAACTCTCATGATTTTAATTAAATATAAGAAAAATATTTCATATCGTTACTCTTTAATATAACTTATTTAGATTTAACTCATTTTATTATTAATTTTATTATTAATTCATTTTATTACTTCGTTAGTCTGTGGATATCAGTTTTTCATTAGGCAGTTGATGGGCATTAAATAATATTGTTCAGAAAAAAAATTTCTTTTATATGATATATATTTTGATAATATTTTAATAAATAAACTATTAATTCAAGCTTTATTTATTCGTTTATGTATTAATTCAATAAATTTTGTATTGTACATAAATAAATAACATTTCAATTAACGTATCATAGATAGAAATGTACCAGAAAATAAAAAAATATGCTATATTATTCAAAACCATTATAAAAATAAATTATATAAATAATAAATAATACAAAATTATTAGAATTATTTTTATGTTTTAATAAATATTTAATTGCTAAAAGATTTGAAATGAAATATTTTTATTTTATACTTTTTTAAGAACGATGTTACGCATGAATTAGCACAAAATTTTCATTTATAACTTTAATATCAGATAAACCAATGAATTACAGGTGAGTATTGATATTAATAATAAATGAATTTCTAACTTTCATTATGTATAGAATTTTCTCGTATTAATTTCCTTCCTACAAAATATTTTTTTATTTCTACTTGATAAGAGAATAAAAAAACCTTTTAGGTATGGCTAGGATTATATTTGTGCGCAAGATAATAATTTTAAAATATTTGATATCTTTATACTTTTATTCTAAAATATTAAAGAAGATATTGGAACTCTTATAATGAATCGTATTGTATATAATCCGAGTATAAAGCCTTTTATGAAAATCAGAATGATAATTTGTTTGAGGCTAAATAGAAGGATATTAAGCGAATTCAATATGTGACATTATAAGATCATTATTAATCAATGCAATTTGTATGTAATTATATTTCTAATATTTTCAAGTAAATACGTAAAAAAGTATATTCTATATTTTAATATAATTATATAATATTATAATTAGGGACATCAGTTTTATAATTAAAACTAACTTTATATCATAATATTCTTTAATTTTTTCGTCCTTTTATACTTATTTCGCTTCTAAAATCATGATTATGATAGAGAGTGAAAGGAGGGCAAGTAATGTTGGATTTGATAGGGTAACGATATCAAATGAAACTATGAACTCCGTTAAACGTTATCGCTGTTATAAAAGTAATGTGCTTCTACTGTTTGTTGTCATTAGAAATTAGCATTTTAAAGTATAATGAAAAGTGGTATGAATCATTTCATAGTCTATATTAACTTATTCTTAATATATTAAATTTTTTCATTATAAATTATTTTTCATTTTCATTAGTGTCACTAGTTGTCACACTGTGGTTGACTGTTAATATCATAATGTTTGATTATATATCCTTTTATTTTGGAAATAATAAATATTCTATATTCGTTTAATGGATTCGGGAATAAAATTGCTTATTGTACAATAGAAGATACAGTCGTAGATATAATTTACTTTTTAGAAATAAGTCCTCATAGGGAATTATTAATTTTAATTATTATTAATCACTATTAATTAAATGAAAAATATTAAATTTTTATTGATTAATAGTAATTATTAAAAACACGATTTTTCAAATATGTTCAAAATAATATAAGATGTAGTAATTAAGGTAAATATATCTTAAGATTACATAACTATACATTGTTATTTCAGCTTCTTATATAAAATTGGCTAATTTGTATAAAATAGCAGATCTTAATCAATGATTATGTTTACAAACATTGGAGTCGATGAATTTAACAAATATAAAAAATTATCTCTTTTAATTTAAGATTTTAATGTTATTTGGCTTTTGATATACTACGAATATTGAAAAAAAACACACACACACACACACACACACACACACACACGCGCGCGCGCGCGCGCACACACACACACATGTATATATATATATATATATATATATATATATATATATATATATATGTATTTAAAGAAAGTAGAGTTAAATTTTAAAGTCAAAATTTTGTCAAAAATTTTCTTTTCATTTCGCCTTTTATACTTATTGACAAAGCTTTATTTTCATTTTTAATTACTTATCTTTTTTAATGATTTAATTAGTTACAAAATTAGATTAACATTATTTTTATTAAATTTATTAGAATTGAACTCCGGAAAAGTGGCTATGATGTCTGACTGTTTAAAATTGCCGTCATCCGGTGCTCGAAGGACCAAGATGCCTAGGTTTAGACTATGTCCATCGGCTTACTGGTGGGAAAAAAGTGTGGATTAGAGGAAGGAGTAGCGCTTCAATTCAATATTCAACACATCTGCTTTTCGCGCTTGTTTATTGGAATTATATTACAACCACACTATTATGATTCTATGTTGACCTTGAAAATTGTTGAAATCGTGCAGTTCCTTGGTTGTTTTCACGTGGTGTTTGTATGCACTACTTGTAGGGGTATGAGGTCGTAAATTGATGCAGTACGCTTGGTGGAGGAATACTACAGTGAGAAGTGAGAGGTCGTAAATCTCGGTACACCTCTTAGGTGTAGTCCTACTTGTTGGTGTCTTGTAGCGAGTCTTCTCTTGATGTTAAATGAAATGTTTCGATACCTCAATGTGGCACCGACTGATAGAGGAGAGTGCGATGGCACCGATTGATAGAGAGTGCCATTGCACTGAGCGAGAGAGTGTGCGATGGCACTGATTGATAGGGTGTGGCGATGACACTGGATCCTTGCTGAGAGTTTTCCTACAAACACCTTGTGCGCTTGGGATCGATGCTTGCGGTTAGATACTGAGAGAGTACTGTGGCATTATGCTTGAGGTTATATTTCAGTTTTTAGTTGCGGAGGTTACTGCTATCTCACTTGAATGGTTCTCAAATTGTATTAAATGGTATTACAGTGTTGTTGATTTCTTCTTTCAACACCTTTTCCTCGACGATAAGCTAGTTGAATGCTTACACAAATTGACAGCGTGTTCCCTTGGTGGCGGCTCTGCTGAGAGAGAGAGAGAGAGAGAGAGAGAGAGAGAGAGAGAGATTTGTCGCGTGCTTGCTTTATATATCCACGCCACAGTTTAGTTAGCTGTCAACAATGGACAGGTGTTACTATGCGAACATTAGATAAACATTGCAGGATATCCGAGAATAAAGCTTTAGAAGTTTCTAGAATTTTGGGAAAGTAAAGCTTCAGAAGGTTGGAGAATCCGAGAAACATAATGTTTACAAAATACGAGAAGGATTATAAATTTTCAATAGCCAAAGGTTTTGTAAAATGCTTCAATCCTGAACACTGGCAATTTGAAAATATTATAAATTTATTTTCAAGTCAAACCGTTATAAACGAGTACAATAGCATAAAAAGTCAATTTTTTAATATTTATTTAACGTTTGTCAATTATAGGATAATTATGTGAAAAAAAATTTATTTGAACAGCTTAAGTAAGTTTTGAAAATCTTTATATCATAAAACAGAATGTTATATACTAAGCCATTTATAATAAACTAATTAACATTCATTGTGATGCTAAGGTAAAAAAATAGGTGTTTTTATATTGTTATTCGAGTATTGTCATATCGTTAAGATTTATTAAATATAAAAAATTTGATAAATACCTAACAATCAATTTTATTGGCAATAAAAGCTTGTAATTAATGGAAAAATATTTATTAACCATTTATAACAATCTAGGTTTATCAATACCTTATAATGCTCTCAGATATAAAAAAAATCATGAGCAACTTTTTATCATAAAATTCTATCGATAAAGCATCAAGCTACAGCTATTGACTATCTCTAATAAACAATTGGTGCAAGTGGCATAAAGCAGGATTGAATGGAATAGTTAAAACTTTTAATCGTGATAAAGTGTCTTTAAATGTATTTTATAATTATTTGAGCGATCGACGAAAATGGTAATTTAAGTAAGTATATACGGTATGTCATTAGTAAAAGTCTAATAACTATCGATTTGTATTACAAAGATTTTTTTTTTATTTCATAGATGTTCGAAAATACAAATTAAATATAAGGAATAGTTATATATAAAATAGAGAATATAGCTATGTATGTATGTAAATATAGTTACTGCTTTGCGTGATCAACGAATAATTTCCACGAGTTTCATATATAAAAAATAACAAGGACAATAATTGACTTCGAAGCAACCGTATGCAATTTTAGATCGATGATCAAGGAGTTAGTTAATCGGTACAGAGTTCGCTCGATGGAGTTTTGGACGATGAGAGTAGCGAGAGATGTAAAATATCCTATTAAGACTTAATAATAAGTTATGAAATATGGCTTCGATGGGGCACGCAAACAGCAAATAAAATAGACTTTAATTTAAAACAATTAAAAAGTTGTAAGGTAATTTATTTTCAAAAACTATGTTTATGAAATTGTTTCACAGTGTTTTTTTAAAAAATTAAATAAGCCGACCCGCCTTCTCATATGCGTGCATCTTTAACAGTCGTATATTTACAATCATAAGCAGAATTATATTATAACATTAATTTTTATAAAAGTTACAGTCTAAGTGACGATAACAAAAAAAATTAAAAACAATATTTCATATGCTTTTGTCTGTTGTTACAAAACTTCTTTATATTTGAACTGAAAATTTAGGTCAAATGTATTGTAGCCACAAGTAGGTTATAAGAATATTTTGGAGTTTTTATGTTTCAGTTTTAAAAATTGTGTAAATAATTTGAACAACTTCTTTTGACTTCTAGATTTCAATACTCTGTGGTGCCATCTACTTTAAAGAAATTTTTGCGAATAAATTTGATATTAAATAAAGTAATAAAAAACTATATGGAATTGTATTTGTAAGCACAACTTTTTAAAGAAGTCTTTCAATGAATATTAAAAAAATATCCATTATCTAAAAATATTTCATTACATTTTTTATTGTTGAGGTCTTGTTTATGTTTTAATGGTCTCATACTTTGATGCTAAATAAGTATTGATAAAGTATTGAAACATGAGAAATATATTCATAAATATTTTAAATAATATAATGTGCAAAAGTAAATTTGATGAACATAGTGAATTTAATACTTTGAGAACAATTTAAAATAATTTGATAAATTTTCATTATAAAATAAATATTTTGCCAGTAACATTTTTCTGTGCAAAATATTACAATAAATTGAAGCCTATCGGATATATTTCAATAATGACATATTAATTACATTTTTAATTAAATATGATATAAATTCATATTCATTTTATCGAATATTTTTGGTATTTAAGGTGGCTATAAAATATTATTTTATCGAACTTTCTTATCGTGATTTCCAAAATAGAAAACATATCCTGTATTTTAATGATTTTGTCATTAATGCGAGCGTTTAACACAAATTAGCCAGTGACTAATTTATAATTTTATTAGCAATAGAAATAAATAACAGTTTAAATTTTATGCTCTAATCTATATCTTTGGGTAGACGAATAAGTATTTTAGTAATACAAAATTTCGTTTAGAAAATAGATAAGTATTATATAGAAATTAGATGATTTATAAAAATGAATAAATTTTATCAATTTTACCGATGAAATTTATCTACATTGTTCGCAATTGCTAAATGCTTACTTATTAATTTTATTTAAAAAGAAGGAGAATGTACAGCATACTTCGGCAATATTAATATATTATTAAGTAATAATATAATTGTGGTCTACTTTTAGTGTATAATCAAAGGCTTCTTCCATTCATATACTTCTATATAGATTAAATTGCATTGGTCTAATATTCGAAAAATATCTATGTATTATTATTACCTTCAATATTATATTAAATTATTCATTATTATATTATATTAACTTCTATATTATACTATACAATTTATTGCAATATAACGGGTTTTGCTAATTTTTTTTGTCCTGTGCGTACTAAAATATCTGATATAATATATATATACTAATATATACTAAATATATACCTAATATATACTAAAATAATAAAGTCCTGTAGTAACTAAAATAGATAAAACGAAAAGATAAAACTATTTGTAAAATTATTTGATTAATCATTAATTAGGAAATTCTTAAAATGACTCGTTTCAATTATTGATTATTGTTATAATTATACATAATACGATATGTACTAGTTGATTAATATTTTTAAATCAATATATATATATATATAACTATTCTTTATTTTTAATTTGTATTTTCGAAAATCTATGAAATAATATTTGTAAAAAAAATCTTTGTAATACAAATATTTATAATACATATATATATATATATATATATATATATATATATATATATACACAAATAATATATAAATATAAATTGTAAAATACATTGAAAAACATTTTATCGCGATTGAAAGTTTCAACTATTCCATTCTATTCGGCGAATATTAATATTTACATTATATATAACTGTACTTTTTTTTTCAGGTATCAGAAAATATTTTGATACGTATTTATCACATATGATTAAAACGTACTATTCAATTATTTCAATTAGGATGAAAAATTTGAACGAAAATATTTGAAAAATCAGTTAACGATTAGCTTGATGAAACTCACTTGAACGTACGCACAATATATTTCTCGTTATTTAGTAATGCCTCGAGCGATTCTGCTTTTTCTATTGTTTAAGTTATCGATTATGTTTTATATACTCTTTAAAACTGATTTATTTGAGAACATGTTTGGTCAGTAATGAAAAAAGTCAAGTTAAAAACTTTATAAAAAATTACATATTAATATGCTATAGAATATGATTTTTCTACAATTCATTATAAACTGATATTCAAGCAGTTTTTGAATTGTCTAAAAAATTAAAAAAATAAAACTGAATAAGCGATATTTAAAGTGTTTTCGATATACTTGATTATTCCAACATTTTAGAGAGAATTATGCATCAAATGATATGAAATAATGTAAAGCTATGAATTACAGAAATTTTTCTATAAGAATTAATATTAATTATTTTTTATATGTCGTACTTGTATTACAAGACATTAAAGTATATAGTTGAGAGATGTTGAGTTGCCGTATATAGAAAAATACAAAAATCATTATACGTCATTATATACAAAGTTACGTAATTTGAAGACAGGTGCATGCAATAATATCTTGGTACATTTTATCATTAATGGTGGTGTTTGATTTATTTGAAAAGATTCCGTGTCCTTTTATATAGTCAATTTTTATAACCGGAGGACGCAATAAATAGGTCTATTTAAAGAATAGTAAATATTTTTGCGTAAGGATAAATTTACTTATAAAATACTCGTAATAAAATATTGTTGTAGCAGAATAAAAATAGTTTAAATAAATTTCTATTTTTTTTTTTTTTTTTTTTTTATTTATAAATTTTTTTTTTTTTTTTTTTTTTTTTTTTAATTATTAATATAGTTTATACTATTTATTATCTTGAATAAATAATAAATAAAATTTAATCATTTAAATATTTCAGTCATATAAAATAGATAAGTTTAATTGTTAAAAAAATCTTGAAATTCTTCGACGGATTTATTTCTATAAGTTTTCCTACGTTAATGATAATTTAATTCGACTTGAATAATTGACTTAAATAATATTAAAAATTAGAAAAAACTTGTTGGTATTGAGTTATTGGAGCATATCCGCCTTCCATGGTAATGCACGGATAGTTTTAGATCGATTAAACTTAAGCAATTTGAGTGTGGCTTCTTAGTAAATTTATTGCGTAATGTCGAGTGATTGTGGCCAATATCGTCATTCAGTCGTATCTTAATATAACAGATTTTTATTACCTAAAACATTTCTTGCGCAATACAGATCAATTGTATGTATTAAGAGATAGCTTCTAATATAATATATATATATATATATATATATATATATATATATATCTATAATTTCTAAGAGACGAATGTCTATGCAATTGGAGATAGATATTTGTAAAAAGATATGCAAACGACTACTTACGCGACGTCGTTGCTGGCATTACTGCCTTGTCTTAAGTAGGAAGTCGAATTATTGTCTCTACTTAGAAATACCGCCACTGCTAGTGGACCCTCGCGAGTCTGCAATTCTTGGCCGGATTTTACGCATATATATGCCGTTATTGTCAATGGTGCTATATATCTGTTTAAAAGAAAAATGGAGTAATAGCAAAGTGGTTATAGACGTTCTGATATGCGGGTAGAGGGATAGATGGATGAGTAAGCAAGTAGATGAATAGATAAATACAAAATAGGTTGGAGGATAGATGGAAGGATAGAGGAGAATATAATTCATAAATTGATAATTAAGCAGTTTGGTATGGCAGATCTACTGCCGTATATCTCTTATTTAAGAACATTAATGATCGTGAAATAAATGTTTTTTAGTTAATGAATATTCACTTATAATTATATTCATGTATCTACCTCTTTTCTTAGCATTATTTTAAATGAAAATTTTTATTATATAATTGGATTATAATGGAAATCTTAATTTTATATATTCATTAGAAAATATTAGAATTATTATTATTCATTTGTTCTCTTCCTTAAATTGATCTTACAAGTCAAATATATTGATTTTTCATTAAATATAATGTAATTTGATTAGTTTATATTTATTCATCATTTTACAAAAGCAAGAATTTTCAAAAATTACATTATGCGTTTTTACATAAATATTTCGATAACAAATAAATAATTGTATTTAGCAATTCGTGACACAATAATATTCTTTCATATTATTGCTAATTCTTTTCTCCTCGCAAAGACTGACTAATGACGAGTAACGCAAGAAATTTTCAACCACAATTTGTAAATACTTAGAAGTGACAGTTATTTTGAGAATTTTTATAATTTTATAATTTAAACTTCATTATTAGAATATTAATTCTTGATAATAAATCATTGTTAAGATAAAATGAATTTTTAGAATATTTTATTTCAAAATTAATACGTTCATTTCTTACGAAGAAAATTTTTCATTTTTATTAATAATATAATCGGCTAATAAATCAATGCACATATAAAATTATAGTAGGCCTATATAAATCTTTTTTATTCTTTTTTGTTAGATCGATATTTTTTACAGGATTATAGAGAATTTGTTAAAATGAAAGAATTTTATTTATAATTACAAAAAATTGCAACAATATTTTTCATCGCATACTAATGAAAAATTATTTTGCATTTTTTAATTATAATATTATTTATTAGTTGAAACGCGTAAACATAATCAGTAAATTTAATTTTTTGCAAATGGTTGATGTTATCGAAGGAGAAAAATAAAATATAAGCGAGCAGCAGCGCATGTGTGAAATTAATATATTTGAAGCACTTACGTGGCAATGAATAAACTTCTTATGTATTCTTGTATGTCTTCCGATAAGTTGGCTATACACATTTGAACTCCTCTAAATGGATGTTTATTTTGTTCTGACTCACCAAAATCCTATAATGCATAAGTGAATAGCATTTATCATTCTTTACATCACATATAAACTTTAACATTTCTTGCTCTTATGTTTAATATATTTATGTTTTTAATCTATATTATCTATATAAAGCTACAAATTAATAAACTAAGAATTGCAATTTTCAAATATTAAGATTAAATGTAAAATAGTTTTTTATATATATATATATATATATATATATATATAGCCTCTATTAGAAAGTAATGAATTTTTTAATTTTTCTCTACTCCATCATACATAAAGTTAATAATATTTAAGAATAATCTTTGTATTATTATTAACAGTGAAGCATTAATTTTAAATAATAAAATTTTTTTTTTTTTTTTTTAATTATTATTGAACATATCACTTGTCAATATTCTTAAGCCATTATGTCAATTTTTTAAAGACAATTATATTATTTTTTTACTTGAATGTTAAATGAAATGAATGTGTTTAACATTTTATTTCATTTTTTAAGTATTGACTTTTATATTTCTTACAATAATGTAAATTCATAGTTTTTGTTTGTTTAAGTATATTCTTCGAATGCTCGAAGTAAGTGATGAAAATAAATAAATGATAAAATGATTTTAAATTTATTAAAAATTTGTGTCAAGAATGTAGGTAGTATTTTTAAATACTTTTAAAACTGAAATTACAGTCAGAAAGTATAAAAATACGATTCCATCATTTCTAATCATTATCTTCTATAATTAATAAGTGTTACATGAAACAACACCCAGCAACCTTCATACAGAAGTTAAAAATTGTTTTTTTTTTTTTTGCAACGGTTGAGTATCATGCTGTTAAGAAAATAAAAGTAAAGCAATATTTTTTCAGAATTTTCAATCCGCTTTAATGGAACTTTAGGCCAAGATTTCTATAATACAATAGGTTGTGGCACTATTAAATTATTATTACCGGAATATTGAAATAAGTAGTATATATCGGATATGGTAGAACAATACAAGTGGCGAAGAACCATGTCCCAAGGGCGCAGACAAATGCTGGAAAACGTGGCTTTCGAGGGTCGCTCAGAAATCGATATCTATCGCCGGAGATTAGAAGATATGTCATCATTGACACGTGTATTGGGCTATCCTGTATAAAAAAGTAAGTGATTCAATTTTTTGTAAATTACTAAGGTTAAGTATAGTTTGATGTAAAGGGCGCTACATGACACTGAAGAAATTGCTATAAATAATTTTTGCCGATAGAAAAAAATACATGCAGGCACAATAAGATATCTTATTGAATTTCAGACTGTCGAGGCATATATCAATCTTAAAGATACATTTAATTAATTCGACGTATTATATAATATAACAATAATTATGTAATTATATTATATTACAATTATATTATTCGGAACTTGAGTATAATGTTGACGATTTAAAAACTAAAGAACATGGATTAAGAATTTTTCATAAAAAAAGCCGAATAAACATTTTTTTTATATTTCTGTACATGATTTCTTTCGTTTTACAGTGAAATAAACAATGAATATTTATGAATATTTTTTTTTTTATATTAGATTTTTATATTATTTATAATATTTTATTAAATATCCCATTTATATTGGATGAATCGTATTAATTTTAGAATAATTTTTAATAAATTAATTTTTTCAATATTCATTATAAATATTATAATATTAAGTATTTAATAAATCTAAGACTACAGTCTACGTTTAAATTTATTTGACAAAAATATAAGATAGAAAATTCATTTCAATTAATGAAATTGATCGCTGTACTTTTATCGTTATTTTTTTTATATTATCTTGATATTGTCTACAAAAAATCATTTTTATTCGGACAAGTAATACTTTTAAAATTTTTTTGTAATTTTGAAAACTTTTTTCTTAATTATTTTCTACACTTTATCATAAACATATTCGGACTTACATCTTCAAACATTAGATTAATGAAACAATTGAAAATGTAAAATCGATATTTATAAAAAAGTACAGAAGTGTATATGAAATTATGTGTAGTAATATATTCTTTTACTTTAGAGATAAATATTACTTATAATTACTTATTTTTCGTAGCTCATTTATTGTTCTTAAAAATATATATATTATTTAATTGTGAATTACCATGATTGCTTAATCCTTAGTCGGAAAACTTGACGGCTATTAAGCATTTCCATTTCATATACGAATATAAATAATATTTAGAATTTGTTTTAATAATTATATTAATATTTGTTCAAAATTTAAATGAAGCAATAAGTAAAAATACTTTTTTTTTTTGCCAAAATTTGTGATATACGTTATTGAAAATTTAATAATTTTGTATTTATTATAAATAAAAAGTACTTAACGTTTTAAATTCATTTGAATTTACATTATAGTAATAAATAATGAGCAATTCTATCGAATAGCTATTAATAAAGTAATTTCTTTGAGTAAAGATGGTTTATTTGATTCTATTGATTTTTTACATTAAAAATTAAGATTAAACCTCTTTACTTTGATAGTTTCATAAATATTAGATATATAATTGAAGTAAAAAGATCATATTTATTAATCTGGATAATCTAGATTTGGCAGCATACTCAGTATGCGTTCTAAGATAGGTCTACCACATATATAAGATTCTATTATCAATTTTGCATATATTGAGTTTTTTTAATATCACGTGATAGCGTTACTAGTAATGATTTATTATATTAATGAATAATGTATCACTTTTTCTCAATATTCATCATAGTTTGAGAATGATGCGCATCTATTTATGAAACTTTGTTTATATTTATCGTTATTTTATAACGTAAAAATTTCACATTGATAAAGAAACTGATTCAATTTAATATTACAATAATTTATTTAACTTAATGATATGGGTGACAATTATTTATTATGACTATTTTTATATTAACTTTTATTATTTTTTTACGAGGATGACTCGTTATAGTAAATATACTTTTATGTTTATCGGAGGCTTTTTATTAAAAGTATTGGTACAATTTCATCTAAATATTAATGCTTAAAAACTAAAAAAAATGACTAAAATTATATGATTTGACAAATAAAATTTTATTAAAATTTTTGGATGTAAAAGATCTCGAAATATCTTATGAAATGTTCAAATAAATCTGACTAATAGCGATAAGATGGCAAGTTATTGAATTTGTGTTTCAGAACCGAAAATATAATCTTGATTATCATAATTGCAAAGTAACTATCTTTTTTGAAAAATAATTTCATGTACAACAATTTATCGATGCTCGCATTTGTCGAGCGATGTGCATGCATTCGTTGAGTTTGTTTTTGTTTTTGTTGTGATATTGATATGGGCAATTACATTTTTTTAAATTCATAATCAAAAGCTTGAAAATTTGACAACTAGAAGTAATTAAAAATAAAAAAAAATTAAAAATATATTTTAAGAAATGTGTAAGACAAATAATGAGACAATTAACGCGAGAGAAATAGAAAAACTGGTTTAACATAAGGAAGTTGATAAAAGAGTGAACATTAAATTTTGTGGAATTCATATTGTTGCATTGTAATCTAATCAGTATGTAAGTGAAAAATGTTTACTGACACTGGTTGAAAGAGCATTAGTAATCTATATGAAAATTGATGTTGTATCATGAGAAGTACAAGTAAAGTATTAAAGATGTTATTGGATTACAGTACTCTGACCAATATATTAATTTAAACAATGGATCAGGCTTTTAAAAAAAAATATTATTTCTTCCGTGTACTATCCAGTAATTATGTAACAAGTAGTTATATAACTATTAAGCTACAAGACCTATCTAGAAATAAGATATTATGTAAATATTTTAGCTATTACAGTCGAAGTGGAAATTAAGGTTACTAAAGTAAATTAATTTTTGGAAAAATATTAATCAATTTATGCAATTTTTTGGTTAATAAAGAGTTAGAAATATTAATTTTATTATGTAAAACTGGAGCATTCAATTTTCTTTGAATGTCTTTCTATATATTCAACCAGATCCGTGATACCGCATTTAAAATATGATCTGAACGAAAAACGAGGATATTAATTTATTATCTACAAATTAATATTTTAAACATCATTATGCAAGGTAGGCATGAAAGCGTAATAAATGACTTAATATGTTTTCAAAAATATGCTTTAATTTATACTTTACGGAGTGTTGTTAACAATTTTAAATCTTAATATTTACGACAAAAATTTATTGCAAATAACAAAAAACTAATTTGTGAATTTTTTTACATTTTTTTCGTTAATTCTTTTAAAAAAATTAGATGTTTGTACTTGACTACATATATTATTTACATTAATACTGTAAAATTTATCTATAAAAAATATATAAAAAGTAGGAAGAAAATATCTAAAAATTGTTTGATTTTTTTAAATTTTCGAATTTATTTTGAATATTTTTCATTTCCTGTATTTTTGTAATTTAAATATAAATAAGTTGTATAACTTGGAATATGATTTTTATAAAACATATAAAAATAAATGTGCAAATAGAAAAAATCAATAAGTACAATATTTATTTTGAGCAAAACTTTGTTTATGTGGTATTCGATATGGATTATCAATAAACTATACTTATACAGAATCTGTAAATATATTTTATGTAAATAATAAAATTAATGTATATTTAATTAAAACTATTTAAATTAAAGGATAATATAATTTCTATAAAATTTATAAGTCAATAAAAATTTACCAAGTCAAAAAATTCATAAAATAAATTTCAGAGATAATAATGATTTAAATTTATTTAACTTTTATTAAATTATAAAAATTTTGTTTTATTTCAGTAAATCGTATTAACTTTAGCAAATGAATAATAGAAAAATAATGAAAGAACTATTGAGTAAAGGAAATGCCATTACTAAAATTCGATATTAAATTTTTATAATTATTTTTTTTTATTTCATTTAAAAATCACAACAAGTATACGGTTTATCATAAAAGAATATTTTTTATTTATTTTCATGCAATATAGAATTAAATTAAATATTAAAAACAAATTAATAGTACATTATTTCTATGACTAGTATATTAATTTACACTTATTATTAACAAATACGTTTATTCACAATAAACATTTATGAAATAAGTTATTTTCATAATTAAAATTCTTAAAAAAATATTCTTAATCGTATCATATTACGAATTGGAAACATTTAATTATATATATATAATAGAAAAACAAAATTATAAGAATAAATACAATAAATTAGTAATTATTAATTATTGCAGTATGGTTTTCATAATTCATCACTAAGTAGATAAAAAATTTAGAAATGACGATTCAAGCATACTGCATGTGTACTACTAAGAATTCTATGTACAGAATAGAAAAAATTAATCAAACATATAAGGTATATGACATTATGATTATCATGAAAAAAGTAGTTTTAATATTAACGAGTACATATTAGTCTATTTTATAATTCATTAAAACTGAGAAAATTTTCATTTAATTGATATGTTATCATAAGTTAAAACTCTTTATTTGATAAAGATGTTTACTTTCCCAATTCACATATTATAATTATCTGTTTTTAAATTATGTTATTTATAATCAATCAGTTTTTTTACTTTCGTCCAATTTAAATGTTATAATATTATTTTAGTCAAAGCATCCTAGCCGAAAAATGTTGAAAATTTATATTATTATTATCGTTAATTGGATTATATAAATTTCAATTATTCCTTTATTAAAATATCATTTTTTGAATATGTTTAATCTGTTAAATGTTTTATTAAATTAATATAATTTATTAAACGTAATCGATTAGATATATTAATTAATCATAACTGCATCACTGTTCTATAGCACCTCTTTTACAAATTTTGTTTTATAATTAATCTTCTATTTCACTTAATTACAGAGTTAAGTATCAGAAACATTCATTTAGTATGCAAAATGTTTATTTCACTCAAGTAAGGCATAAATAATGCACATAAATAAATGTAGATATCTATTAAATAATACATAATAAATAATATAGATAATATAAGTAGAATATATTTTAGTAAGTAGGTTATTAACATTATAAATTATTGAAGACAATTTAAAAAATTTTTAAAATACATAATTTAATAAAATGTTGCATTTTAAGATATTATGAAATAGCA